TGCCGGCACCTGCCGGCTGCCGTTACTGTCACGTTCGAGAAATGTATGGACTCCATTTAAGGTGGACAGGAATAACAGGACCATAATGAAGCGTTACGAGAAACTAAATTCATATCAGTCTATATCTGCGGTCTCGTTATTCGACTAAGATGTCAGTCTGCATAAGCAGTAAGTAGTTTAATCGTTATTTCTAGTATTTTTGCCTTATTTATTATTGGCATTTGAGAGTTTGACAATTTTTTACTTGACACTTGGCTTTTTAATAATTGACAGTTTTTTTACCGTAAAGTTTTCGATAAGTCTGCGCACACTACAATTTATTTTAATGTTCGTATCACCACCGTATATATCTATATGAAATTTTGTTGGTGCACAGGTTAATTTAACAGATCATAATGATAACTAATAAATTTTGTATAGAATTCAAAATTTGCAAATATCTGTGCTAGCAGCGCGATATTACTTGTACATCATTGGTGTCAAAGTTATATTTTCAGCAGCATTGTTTATGTATAATACTATAATTTCATGTTTAGGTCACTTCTGTACGCCCGGAAAATTCCTGGCGTATGCTTGAATAGTTTGCTATGCGCACGGCAAATTTCTGGCGTGTAGTCTGTTTGCACGAAATTTAAGGTAAAAGTGTATCTTGGCCGTTAGCAATCGGTTTTACGCAAAAGGTGATTTTCCTAGTGAAAAACCAGAGCGTGCCTGAAATTCGGAACCATGACACCAGGTACAACATATCCATACTTCCATAGAAGTACCGAAAGTATATTCCTGATAAGTAAGTTCATCCAGCTGCTCCTTTTCCCTAAGAGGGTTGGCCAGTTGCAGTTGTTCGCGTGTATGTAAGTCTTTTATGGTCCCTGAATGCGTATATCTCAGAAGTTGGTAACTTGCACTGTACACCATCCCAGTTTTGAACTTCCGGTTGCACAGTGCCCGTTTAAAAAACACCATAAGTAGCCGTTTAAAAAACAGGCAAGACGCTTTTTGATCGCACATCTTAATAGCTATTATTAACAGATTTTTGAAATTTGTTTCTGAATTAATTAACGCAATCCTGGTGTAAATAGCTGCCCTTTGAATTATATATGAACAAATACTTGGACCACTTCTATTTGCACCAATTTTTAAGTTGGACAGGATGGGATAGATTTTAGTCGCAGCGCTGAATAACATTAACAGATATGCAGTGGCCAGCACCACCCGCTATTAAATACTAACTTACCGGCTACTATTATTGCGATTTTCTGTGTATTGTCACCTGTGGCACGGTTCGTACCAAAGAAAAAAAGTGAATCGTTTTTTCGCTCCTTGTAGTCACAGTAGACATCTGTATACATCCTTTAGACACCCTGTAGACCTATCGGTAGTCACCTGGTTTCTTAGGATGTATACAGCGTGTCTAACGGTGTCTACAGGTTGTCTACAGATGTCTACCGGTGTATACAGGCAGCCTTTTAGGTTCAGCTCGATACTCTGCCTGTATACACCGGTAGTCACCTGTAGACAGCTCGTAGACACCACTGTAGACATACTGTAGTCACCTGGTTTCTTAGGTTTTTTTAGGATGTATACAGGTTGTCTACAGGGTGTCTACAGGTTGTCTACAGATGACTACAGTGACTACAAGAAGGAAAAAAAACGCTCCAGTTTTTTTCTTTGGTACGAAACGTTCCATATATAACCACTCAGTAACATATTAATAATAATAAATAATATAGTGTCAAAGCGTTCTGACATTAGTAGCGGAAATTATATGCTTTGATCATAAGTGTTCCCGCAGTCTCAAAGATGTTGAAAGTCCTAGTAATAGTCGCAATCTAAAAGATTTTCAACGTAGCTTTCCGTTTTTTATTACCGAACTTCGCGCGAACAGTGAAATTCAAAGTCGACCTTTCTGAATTTCATATGCTGTCGCACAATTACGTACTTGATGTATTGTACATATAGCCGATGCTGTTAACAATTCCCAGGAAGAACTGACTGTGTTCTGGAAAGAGTTTTAAGAATATGCGAGTCATCAAGCACTTCGAAGTTCGAACCGCTTTAATATTAATTATCATGGTAAAGACTCCGAACCCGCTTTTACATGGTGCCACATTTCATGCGGCATCTGCCAGGTTTTATTGTTTGCCAGTTGCCAGAGTCTCCAGATTTTATCGCCCGCCATGCCAGTGGCACTGCCGCTGGCAGGTGCCACTGCCAGGTTTTACACCCTGCCGCATGCTGATGCTCTTTTGGTCCATGCACCATTGTTTTGTGTACTTTCTTAAGCGCTAAGAAATTTTATAATTATGTCGTCGTTGTATCAGATCAGTGCATGCATTGTAAAATGCTTTATTTATTGATGTGCCGTGTAATGCTCTGTTAACAAATAGCAAATCTACACAATACTGGTGCTGGAAATGTGAATTAGTGAATTAACGAAATAATACAAGCACGCTTTCATCGTGGTGCATTATAGGCAACGACGACGATAACTCAATAATTGTATAAGCCGCAGATCGATACTGTACCGGTACAAACACGATTGCATCATGGTACGTTACTGTGTTATATTGACAGCAAGGTTTCTTAGGTTACAAACACGATTGCATCATGGTACATTACTGTGTCATATATTGTGTCATATTGACAGTATCCAGTGTGCAATGTGATGCGAGCAACCGACAACCGATGTGCGAACAACCGACTTGTCGTCATCGCTATTGGTATTGTCATCTGCACTGTACTGTTCTTTACCTTTACCAAATAATGGCGACGGTGCCACTGCAAGGCGTGATAAGTTACCGGATCCATTACGTTACTGAAGAGCTTATCGCGATTGAATTGAACCAGTGATGGGTTACTGAGTTTCTTGGACCCCTTACTTACTTTTACTGTTGCTTAGTTTTGACTTACTTTACTGTTACTTTTTCGCTGCCGCAAACGCTACTTTTACTTACTGTTTACTAATTCGCTCTAATGGTTACTTACTCGGTAAGGCAAGTACTAATAACTAAAGCTTATGCGAAGAAGCTAATTTCGCGCGAAGCGCGAAGGTAACGAGCGAATTTATGGCGAAATCGTAAGAAATTCCAATAAAAATCGCATTGTCAGTAGAAATATTGCCGGTCAGCATTTTTCCCTACTTTTTACTTACATTTACTGTTATTTTAAAAACCTTACTTACTGTTACTGTTACTACAGGTCAAAAACGTTACTGGTTACTGAATGCTTAATATTAGGCTGCTGTTTACTGAGTAACTTTCCCTTACTTACTGTCTACTCAGTAACCCATCAATGCGCGATTCCAAATTATTACGCGCGTTAAACCGGCAGCCGGTAATAATGCTGTTCGTGTAATTTCTAATGCATTTCAGTCTCGCCTATGACCTGGTCAACCCGTGCTACCTGGTCAACCCGTGCTAGTTGATCTTCTTAAATTGCAAACCCTCGGGTAAGGTTTAAAGGGCAAACTCTGGTACGGAAATGTGGAAAAATTTGGTACATTTTCTGGCGTCCTACCTCGTCAGCATCTCTGGAAAGGCAAAAGAAATACATTGACAAAAACGATCAAGTCGCAAACGTGTGGCTGTGATCTTCTGAAAAAGGTTACAAACGTTTTGAAGACAGGAAAACACAATAAAATTTTGCGCTGAATCTAAACTTTTTTTATTGAAATCGCAAAAAAACTCTGAATCGAGTAAAGAGGTAGAAATGTGACCCGGCTAAGTCGGCATTGCACTGAAGCCAGGCAGGCACTGTGTCGACGGCAGTCTGTTTGCATCCTGCAGTCGGGGTCAATTGGACCAGTGCTGCAAGTTAAACGAAGTCCGCTAATATTCGTAATTCACATTTGAAAAATCGTAGTTCTCTATTAAATCGATCACATTAAAGAGCATAAAAAGTGAGAAAGGATGTACAATCCCTTTTGAAAAAAGTCCATTTGGTTAAAGCAGTTGGCTGTGCCACACGTTTGGGCCCTTTGTATGTAACGCATTTGACAGACATTTGCGGAAAGCACAAAATTTTTCTTGCAGCAGAGTTCTGTGTCATTTGTTTCATTATACCTTGTCAAGGGTATACTGCCCGTAGATACTCATCTTCCGGTTTCGCCAGTTGCCTGGTTAAGCGCGTTTCCTAGTGGGGGTATATCAAAAATACGCTGACGTCCGTCGAAATTACGCCATGCTTTTCCGGTAAAAAATCTACCTAATTCACATTTGTGTATCTCTGAGAAATACTAATGTGCACGAACAGTTTCCGCTCTCCATATATCTGAAAAAACCGTCTTAGAAATGTGCATTAACAGATCCCTACCACTGATCACTTTTGCTGCACCACAAAAATTAATTTTGAAAAGCACTTCCTGAAACGCCTAACGATTCACAATATTTCAAACAAACAACAGCTGAGAGCGTAATACAAAGTACACAATTTCGTAAGCGGTGGCCTCAACACATAAGAACATTAAGTTTATAGCCGCTGCTCTACTATAAAGTGTAACGACAGACCGCACTCCGTAGTCCGTACAGTGGTAAAATAGCGAAAGGCTATTTTGCCGGTCATACTGCGGCAAAATAGCAAAAGGCTATTTTCGCGCACTGTGCGGCCAAATAGTGAAAGGCTATTCGGCCGACCATAGTGCGGCGAAATAGCTAAAGGCTATTTTAACGCAGTGTGCGGCAAAATAGCAAAAGGCTATTTGGACGCACAGGAGAAAACTGCGGCAAAATAGCCATAGCCATATATTAATCACTTTACCAAATTGAGAGCCTCTGTGGCGGGCGGCTACATGAATAACCACGGCTGACTGAAATGCAGTCTATGCAGTATGCATTACCATTCAGTCTATGCAGCCTACGCAGCTTATCAGTGTGCAATCTAAGGAGTTAAGACCAGCACTGCATCTATGCAGTAAAAGTGATTAATATATTGATCCCTAAAGCGGTACTGATTAAAATAATGGGCAAAGCGAAGTACATATTAATAACTTCAGGAAGTGTTACCATATAACTGTCGTTTATGGTTTCCACTTTATAAGCATCATAGTACGGCACCACCTCGTCGAATGCCGAATGTGTCCGATTCAAAAGGTCAATCACTTCTAGTGGTGAGCACTTCATTACTAGCTTGGCAAAAACGGGTAGGTCGCTAAATAGAATGGATACACTATCGAATGATTCGGCACTGAGTGGTTCCTTATTGCGTAGCTGTTTTATGATGGATCTAAAATTTAAAAAGAATAGTTAGATGCACTATCTAACAACCCTGTGAATTTAGAATTAATATACAGAATATGTTAATCAAACATGGCTAAAAAAGAGAGTGAAAAGAATTGAAGAAGCCAAACAAATACAGAGGAGACTAAAATTTTTATTAAAGGTCGTCGATGTACTGAATTACGCACAAAACCAGAAATGTATTTTTTACTAAACCAGGCGTTAACTAGTTATCAGCAGCAGCAGCAGCAGTACTGCTGTACCTTGGAAGCATTTCGGCAAGGAGCATATCGGTTTTGGTAGTTTCCTCCACCAATGTAGCCGTTTTGACCTGTACCAGATGTTCCAACTGTTGCGTCTGCTGGTCAAGCAATTTGAGCATGTGCGAAACCACGTTTTGCGGCAGATTAGAAAGCTTTTGAAATGATCGCTTAATCCCAAATATCGGCGGTCGTAGATTGTAGTCACTCCGCATACAGTCCTCAATATCGATCTCCAGTGGGGTCTTCTTTACCGTTCCATCCTCGGTGCGTGACGACAAAGCTACAAACCAAGACAGAATATAACCGGGATCATTGTGGTGTAAATATGTTGTGCAGTGACCTTTTAGCTTTAACGCATCAAACGCAATGATGCCAAAACCGTGTACATCATCCGCACGGCATACTATTAAATGGTTTGTGCTTTGTTTAACGCGCATCATCTTCGGCTCGGTGTTCACTGCTTGGGATATGCGGTCGAAGCCGGCGTGCGATATTTTCAACGTGAACCGGCTATCGATGAAGCAGGTTGTAGCGGTTAGCGTTCCATGGTATCCCAGCGCCGAACTGTGTATGTACATCAGTCCCTACATCACAATTTGTAGAACATTAATAAATTATTATAAGCTCAAATTTGTGAATTACTAGTACTCGTATATGTCTCAAGACTGATATGCAGCAGACGCTATTACAAATTTGTGCCACAAAGTTCTTTGTATTTAAACATTCTTTGATTTATGGAGCATAAAATAAATTATTGTGAGTTCATTTTTCACATTCACAAGTTCTAAATCTTAATGTACAGGTTAGTGAATCATTATATTTATATTATTGAACTTTCTGCAACTGCGTGTTAAGCAACCAATGTTGCAACAAATGTCGGCCATTTGATCACTTATTCAGCGAGAATTTAATCAGATGAATTTTATTAGGACACGTCACTTTACGCGCTAAGAGACGAATCATGAAACGCGTTGCGATAGCGGCAAAAGTCTGTCACGCGATCCCTGTAGGCCATTTATTCCATACAAAAAAGCGCTTACTTTGACGAGGTCATAGAGAAATGACAGCCGGACGGCCACATCGGTGAAACTGTTCTTCTGACTGAGGACGTCATGTAAGGTGCCACGATGACTGAACTCCATTAATAATTCACACGGGCCTTTCTCTTCCACCTTTACCCCATAAAACCGCCCGACATTGGCGTGGTACAAACCATGGACCTGTCAAAAAAAAAGAGTAATCAATATTTACCTTTGTCAGCTGCACGGTGAATAACTAACGACGGTTACCGACTTACCGTTAAACTTATGTTCCGAAAGGCTTTATTCCGCGACAAGAGCTTGACGTTCAGTCTATCCGGAAGGGAAATGGACAAAACCTGCTGATTGTCTAATTGCAACAACGGTCCATGGTACGTTAATGCACAGACACTTTCGTATGATTTGATGGAATATTTGCCGGTGGATGGCGTTATACCGGGTTTATAAAGAAACATATGCCGAAATTCTTGCTCTTTTATCCGTTGCCTAAAGTGAATTAGCATTGAAATAATCTCGTATTAAAAAAACAACAAAAATGAACCATCAATAATAATAAATTTGTTAATCTCCAAATAAACAAAGGTTACAGAAAGTTCGTACCGATAATAGTATATAAGATCGTACCGATAATAATATATAGCTCCACACGCCATAATTATTAGGGCGCAAAGACCGAGTACTAACAGTGTGATGGTCAGGTCACCTAGAAGGGAATCGTAATAATTATCACAGTCATCTAATTCATATCAAGCACAACTCTGAACGTTGCTTTTATGTGATTATATTGAAATTCGTTTCCTGTCTTTTCACTTTACTTCCTAAAGCCAGACAATGCTGTCTATCAAATCCACATTTGGGATCATTGGTCGGAAACGCTGTGGAATTATGCCATTTCCAAAGCTCCGGATCCACAATGTGAAGTTTCTGTATTTCCGTATCATACTTTGCAGCCAACTGCAGAGCACGAATAATCAAAATACTTAAGTAATCGCCTGCGACACTCGAGAATCTTATCTTTAGTTAACCGGCAGGCACTAATATATCTATGAGTTCCGCTAACAGTTTTAGATGTACAGGTTTGTGTAATTTTACTTATTTTAGGCAGTTTTACTTTTTATTTTATACTTTGTGCTACGTTGTGCTACGCTTTAGCTAAAACTTGCAACTTGTCTTTCACGGCATATATATATATATATATATATATATATATATATATATATATATATATATATATATATATATATATATATATATATATATATATATATATATATATATAAGGGCGAAAATAAACGCGTTCCACCGCTCCTGTACTGCTGCCGTCACCCGCCTGGAGTGTGACGTTACGGCAATACATATGGTTAAATCTGGCGCGGTACGTAAGCGCCATGTTCAGCCACAACGTCAAACTCCAGTCGGGTGACGGCAGCAGTACAGGGGAACGGTGGAACACGTTTACTTTTGCCCCTATATATATATATATATATATATATATATACATACAAACATATATATATATATATATATATATATATATATATATGTGTACGTAATTTCCAATTTTCTAAAGATACGAACACTGATATTAAAATATTATGACCATTAAAATGTATAGCAGAAAGATACTAGTTTTAAACATGTCAGTAAAGAAAAGCCCGCGTAGCTTTCTGAACAGTACAGACGTCAGAGGTGACAATTAATTTCCGAAAGTAAAAATTGTTGTAGGAGAGCGCACTCGAGTTGTTGCGTATTGCGAAAACATGTTCTATTGATACCCATGCCAGAATACGCGTGTTTCCGGGAGAAGCCGGGACTTACAAGTATCACGATTAATTCATTAATAATCATTTACCTCGAATTTGCCGTTGCGGGGGTTCAAGCGCAGCAACGGAATGAGAAAGCTGGCCATGCCGGATCTGGCGACGCGGGTAGAACTTGACCGTTTGCTATAAATCTGCTGGCGGAGGTTGTGCGCGAATTGTGCCGGTGTCATGTTGGCCATTTGATCGACAGATCGATTAAGGTACTGTACAACCAGGAAGCACCAGGCATTAAACAAACAACCATTTTCGCTCTATTTCTGCACGGAACAATTAGAATTAACACATACCTCGGCAAAATTTGACAGCAGATCGTATATCAGCGCCGTGGCTTCGTTCTTCTGCGTAAAAGAATAAAACGCTTGTTACTCTGGCAGTTAAATCATCATTACGAAAAGAAGCATTATATGTTGTACCCGGTAACTGAGCGGGACAGTGATATTGTAAACACTCTGGGACGTTTGAGCGGTTTTATTGATAAATTCCTCCAGGTCATCCCATTCGAAGAGTGTGTCCGATGAGATAATTACCGATTCGAAGGCTTTCCTGGCTTTCTGTCAACAAGATTATGTTTCGCATCGAGGATTTCTCCGCAAAACCATTTACAACCACCGGGAACGTTAACGCACCTCATCATCCGCGTCATTCGCTTTCCAACTGAGCAAATACGGACTACCGGGTGTCGGCTGCAGCGCCAAGGTGAAAAAAATCTGGCCAAAATAAATAACACCATTTTAATTTTGGTTACATGTAATAGTTTACTTAATCCGCAAATATTATTGTATACTTGTTGAGATATTTCTCAATAAAAAAACATAGACAAAGTACATTGTGTTCTGCAGGCAGTTACTGGGAATTTGTAAGAAAATCTGGATTTCGCTTCCACGTACCCCAAATTACAAAATATTTTCGCAGTATTTTTAATACCATGTATTGTTAGCCACTGCCGAAGAAAACATCAGCAGCGGTATGCGAAAGCAGATTAATAGTACATTGAACTCCTAACTTAAATTGATTAAGAGCGCAAATGAAATTCTTTTACTGTAGCGTAACTCGCGCTATAACTCGTAACTCAGGTTATTGGGAATAGCGTAACTCGTAACGTAACTCGCGCGCCCCGTCTAACTCTTAACTCTAGCTATTGGTCCATTTTCCATAACTGCCCAGGTCTGGTACATTCACTTAATATTACTTACAAAGTCTCCGTTTGTCATGTTTAATTCGTAAGCCGTAATCTGCAAAAACAAGCAAAGAAAAATTAATATGAACAATTTTTTACTGCAAAAACTGTAAAAACTGAAAAGAATTCCCATATTTCATTGGCAGTATACACAGACATGCGTGGCTTTCTAATTCCCTAATGGCCAGAAACCAGGAAACTGAATTAATATGGTTGCAGCCACTGCGTTTCACACCAGAAGGAGCTACTAAGCTACAATATCTGTACAAGATACAGTATGTACACCTACCATGAATTCCCGTAGTAGAGGTGGGTTGATGAAGACAAGGATCACTGCAAACATCAGAATGAAATTGTTATTTGCAAGAGAAAGCAAATCGGATTGGCAATTTTAGCAGTGTTTATACAGCCGGTGACTTAAAGTATAAAATCAATTATCCATAAGCAGATTTATGGCAGTACCCCAGCAGCGGAGAACCGCTTAATACTATATATTACTCTGCATTATGCCGGTTCCATTTAAAAATGCACTTCTAGTTATACAGATATTAAACAAATACAGCACTATCACCTCACCTCGCGTGTGATTACGCAGGTCATTCAGTACACCACGGTATTGTTCTTTCCCAAACACCGCCAGATTGGTGTACGCATGGGGAATGAACACTTGCTGGACATCGATCCTGTTATACAAGCCGTCTTTGATCAATGCATCACAAAAGTACTCCGACCAGCTCATGCCGACTGACGGACAGTACAAGCCCAGATTTTGGTCCACTTATTGTCCAGGAGAACTTGTGTCACGGCGGCCACCATATCGGTGCCGGGCAGTGGGCCCAGCTGGACCATCGTGGGAAATTTCTCGAAATGGGCTAGATCAAAATTGGCTGGATTCGTTGTCAGGAAAACGGTATCAGTGGCTAAAAAATTACAAAGAAGTTAATGGAGTTTGGTAAAACCAGAGAAATATGCAGCAGGCCGGAGATAGATAAAATAATATTGGAATAATAATTACATATGTACATATAAATATATTGCGTACATACATATTGATATAATATATTGCGTACATTACGATGTCGTAAGGAAATATACATATATCTATAGTAATTATTTTTGTGCTGGATTTTGGTAGACGCCTAATTAAGTAATTTTCTTAACAAATTTAACCTGCGGCAAAGTTGGCTAAATGCACCGGGGCCACGTTACACCAGTCTGCACTGACAATCACCACCATATCATTTGTCCCCAATGTATCCTCAAAAACCATTTGATGATTTTCATAGAAATCGGCCCATGCCGGCAAAATGTTATCATTTGACGCTACACATTCCGCAGAATCCGTGGATACTTTGCTATGGTCGGAAATATCTAAATACATTGGGGTCAATTTGAGTCGCAGGTGGTCAGTAGCAAGCAGTTCTTCGATATCTTGAAATATCACATCATACGCCGGTCGCATAACCAGATATCCGCAAGTATCGTCGTTGGTAAGTGTAATGATTACCACGGTGAGATTGATAAAATTATCGCAATATACGGCATTTGCCAATAATTCTGCATACAACAACAAATGGACGGCAGAAAATCTGAGCATTATGATCGATCTGCGCCATTCAACGCCACGACTAGTTCACATTTTTCTGCTTTGAACAGTCCGGGTGCGACTGTTTCCCGTTTGGGAAACCCTTCCACTTGTCCTTAACTTCTGTGTTTAACGGAGGTGTGGGAGGGCCTTGGAGCTGACGTTTTCAGCTCACCCTGTAGGAAACAAGCATACCGGTTCCCTTATCCGTACTTGTACGATTTTTGTACTAAGACGAAGGGTTAAAGAGGCCTTCCTGTAAAAGTGTTGGTACACCCAATAGTTCATTAATATCTTATACCGTTAGTGCTCACCGTGCAGCGCATTTAAGGTAGTTATAAAATTATGAATCAATGACTTTTTTATGAAGACATAATAAGTTTGGTTTTTATGAAGACATAATAAGTCTAGAGTAAATCACACAGAGTATCGGATTAGTTTCTCCTGTAGTACGAATTAAATTGCCTTCCGATCTGATATTCCATGAATTTCCTGACAGACAGTAGGAAAAAAGTTATGACGAACAAATTGTGTTTGACACATAAAGCGCCGGATCCGACATCAAACGGCGGTTATTATTGATCATATGCGCTTTGTATTACACACAAAGCCTCTTCAAAGGTGCAAATATTTTACGTATCGGATTAGGATAGCAGTACAAAAAAGTCATTTTTTCAGGGTTTTTTAAACCGACAAATCGCAGAATGCTTGCTGATGCGCGTGGGTAACCCACCAAGAGTTACCGCAAACTTTATTTTCTAAATAACGTTTCGTATAACTTGCATAAATTATAACTTGCATCCATTATACTTGCATAAAATAATATTATATGCACCTAAGCGTTAACCGCGCTACCAATTATCTGTGCGTATGTATTTGTAAGTTAATGGAACGACCGAAAACAAAATCGGCATGAAATTCAACATTATCTAGCATACAGCATTAACTTCTATGAAAACTTTTATAAAGATACTTATGAAACCTAAGAAACTTCATAAATGAAAACTGAAAACTATTATAAAGATGAAAACGTTCATATGAAAACTTCTATAAAGATACTCGTAGGTATGTGACGAGTGACGATGTCATAAAATGCACTTTCTTCTACCGTATTAATTATATGTAATAGTCAAGACAAAATATCGTGACACCAGCAGTTACACACAATTTTTGCTCGATCTCCGCTAATTAAACTTAAACTTGCTAACGGGGCTTGTATAAGTGCATTATTCGGCCGACCTGACGCAAATCTTGCCAGTTCCATTGCAACGAGCTCGCACCATTCTAAAACGTAATATAACACGTTTTAGATAACGAAAGTGGTACAACTTTCTTCACAAGTTCATACATTTGATGACCGCACCATTATTAATAAGAACCGTCAAATCTTCCGTAGTCCGGATGCCAGCAGCTTCGCAAGAATACACCTTTCCCACATTGTCGGCGATGTGAACGACTGCGCTTTCGCATTTATCGCCGAAATCGCTAGCCGAATCATCAACCATACCATGATAATACAAGAGCTTTATGGTAATCTGGTGCAGAACAGAAAACTGGCTAGTTAGAATTTCCAGCGCGGCGTCTTGGGCGGGAGCCATTGCGCAATAGCCCGCGGAGTCGTCGTTCGTGGCCTTTACAATCATTACTGTCAAGTTTCTACTAAGTTCAGCCACTATTTGGTATATCATTGAAATTGAAATCAGTGCATAGCACAGAACGCTATGTTGATGAATTTTCCGCAAGTACATCTCATTAAAAATTAATGTATTTAAATAACTAAAAACTATATAAGTACTGCTGGAAGTCTCGCCGAGCTCAGGGTAAATACGGTAACATCATCGTGCACATACATATTATTTCATGCATATAAGTGGCTGCATACTGTAGCCTGATAGTGCATACTGTAGCCTGATCCCTTGGTTCAATTGAATTAAGTTTTTGCAGCCACATCATTACCTATGTTCAACTCCTACCTGGTTAATGTTACTACTCTTGCACCTCAAGTACCAGGTGCAACACTGGAATGATAAACAATCCGGTGTAAAAAGGACTTAAGGGAAGTGGCCCGGTACATGGTACCAAATTCGTGTACATGCACGAAATCTTTCACTTTCGCGCACTCCCAAACCCTTTTTTCTCTTGTTTTATGACAATCTGTAGTCAAATGATTCGTATACACAGGCCTGAAAACCGTTTGCGCGCGCAACATCCGGTTCGCGAGTTATGGCTGTTAGAAAATTCAAAAGTTTAAATGCATTCAGGTGTACCAAAGTCTCATTATGGACCGATCTCTTTCAGATTTTGCGTAAATGCACATAACCACAGAATTTTAAAATGAATTTCAAAAATTTTAAAATTCAATTTAAAATTGTGAAGTCTGGATCGGTGTAAAACATCTTCATGGCCATGTGCATTTACATGCAAAATTGAAGGAGATCGGTTCATAATGACTTTTATTACCTAATTTGATACTTTTGGAATTTCTTCATAACTCGCGAACCATGTTGCTTATACATTTCAAAACTGTGTTCGAATCATTGACAATCATAAAAAAGAAAAAAAGTTTGAGTAACGCAAAATGAAAAAATTTCGTGCTACAATTAATCCTGAACCGGATGTTGCGCGCGCAAACGGGTTTCAGGCCTGTGTATACAAATCATTTGACTACAGAATGTCATAAAACTAGAGAAAAAACGGTTTGGGAGTGTGCGAAAGTGAAAGATTTCGTGCATGTACATGAATTTGGTACCATGTACCGGGCCACTTCCCTTAACGATTCTGGATTAGGGGCAACAGCTGAACAAGCAAAAATGAAAGTAACAGCTCCATGTCGATGACCGTGAGAAATCGCACGAGAATTGTACACTATATCAACGTAAACGTCAAACAACTGTGATGATAACGGTCGGCTTTATATGTTCGCGACACTCGTAAAAATACCACACAAAATAAAGCACTTTGCAAGTCAGCATGGTTATGGCACTGGACAGAGCAAGAACATCAGTTACGTAGCGCTTGTCACCCGTGCCGGGCCAGAAGACACACGACAGTCGTTGTATCTAGCACTGGGCGAGACAGAGATGTCCACTAGAGAGCTAAGGTCACGAGAATAATGGAAGTTAACACTAAAAAGACAAACCCCGAATAACCTGGACTGCGGATCTGGATATCCTATTCCTGCCCATTTTTATTTTACATTGTGGCTTTCCGATCCATCTTTTTTCTCATTCCACAATCCACATTGCTCCAGAAATGCATTGATTTCCTTTTACCGCAGGACCAAAACTCCTGGCCAGGCAGTATGAGCGACAGTGAACTTTGTTTACCTTTTTTAATGCTTGAATTATTACTTTTCCGTTATGAGTGCCGGAGTTTTCACATACATTGATTGATCTTTAAAACGAGCCTCACTAATGTGGGCTTAGTTCAACCTAACTGAGATAGTTTTAAGACGGAGCACCAAGAAGCCCTGAAGTAGTATTCCAGATCACTGCCATCGCGCTTTAATTCCGTTCCCTCCGAAAAGATCCAGCTCAG